TATATATACATACATATATGTTACATCTGTAGCATAGCAAAAAAGTAAACTACATTTACTAGTTATATATCTCACAAGAACTCTTAATTTTCAAAGTACAAATAAGAACATACTATATAGCTTGTTATTATTATTGATACAACACAAAAGCTATATTTAGTTGTTAATTGTCAGGAGTTTCTTTATCAAATATTAGAGCACTTACAAATCATAATAAAAAAATAAGTGTGCCAGAAGAAACTATGGTACATATACTTTCATACCAATTTTAGTTAATATCATTAGGTTTTTACACATTTATTTTAGTAAATTATTGATGTTTAATGGGCCACGTTTGGCCTGGTGATTAGAGCACTCAACTTGCAATCAGAGGGTCACGAGTTCTTCATATATGATTGCCGACTGAGCTGACCACCCAGGTATAAAAATTCTTGATGTACAAATTACCAGCTGACTCAAGCTATTTGGGATTAAGGTCGTAATGGGAAATAAAAAACATTAATGTTTAACATTTTTAATGTAACTTGACAAATCTAAGCAATGAGTAAAAATTAGATGAATAAATTTTGTATTTTTAAAACTAACAGGGTGAATATCCTTATCCTGACCCTTCGTTATGGACAGATGAGGAACTGGGCATACCAACAGAGGAGGAGATTTAATAAAATAAACTGTAGTTAAATTTTCAAAATGTTTATAAAGCTGTAGTTGAAATGCTGATTAGAATAAGAGATGTAGAATTATGAACCTTTTTCTTTTTATGCAGTTCTTATTTCAGTATCATATGCTTCAGATTTAGTGTAAATAAAACAAAATGTTATGTATATGGTATTATGTTTTATTATTTACCTTGATAACTTAATTAAAACATGACTCAACTATGCCTGTAAGTATACACATCATATGTTACACTCCCCAACAAACTTATTTTATTATATCTACAAATACACAAAAGACAGATCAAGTAACTTAAACCATTGACCACTCACTAGTGTTAAGTCATTCATTCATTCTAAGAAAGAGATTGTTGGGGAATTGCATCTACAAGGTTTTCAGGTTACTTTGTGGTTCTACTGTCATTTAGGTAAAACTGGAGACTCTGCAATCAACAGTCATGGTTGTAGCACTTTGCAAATGGTTGCTTTCCTTGGTGGTTGAGTCTGTCATGGTGACAGATCACCATCGACTGTAATGAGCTACTGATTACTTTTACAACCATTGCTGTAATTTTCTCCTAGCTGGTTATCTAGTATCATTAGTTCACACATGGTTGCCTTAGGAATGACTTTAGCCAAGAATGCATGGCCTATGCACATATAGAGGCATGGAGCTTTATTGGTGAGCTGTATACCAAATAGATTTCCCATATTTCATGCTGACTTAATCGTATAGACATTTCAGTGGACATATCCTTTGCTAGTGATTTTTATACTTCATTTGCCAGACAACCCATTTTTGGCCAGATCAAACTGCTGTCAAAAGAGTATTTTAATTACCTGCGCATCAAGACTTGGCAATAGAAAATGTTTTTGAACACACCCATTTTATTCTTATGCTTAAATATTTTCAGGACTCTAGTAAAGATAGAAGATTGACTGACTTCAGAAGGCAAGCAGTCAAGTCTGTTGGAGTCTGAACTCGCTGCACAGACCATTATTTCCTTCTTCTTCATTAGCAGTTGTAGATCAGACCATGTGTGTGATCTGCAAATAGATGTAAAAGGTTGTTGTTTCATAGCCAGATTCTTCTTAAAGATGGTACTCCCAAAATGTATACTAGGTTATTAGTTAATTTCTGCCAGGCCAAAGCCTGGTGGTTAAGACACTTGACTTGCGATCTGCAGGTCACAAGTACTTAACCCTATCATTGAACATGCTCACCCTTTCATCCATGGGGGAGACATTATAACATGATGGTCAATCCCACTATTTATTGGTAAAGAGAAGACCAAGAATTGTGTTTACTACCTGCTTTCCTTCTAGTCTATAAGTTCCAAATAGGAACAGATAGCCATTGAGTAGCTTTGTACTGAATTCATCTGACACACAAATCTTACGAAGCCTTATGAAGATGCCTAACATTTCCATTAAATTTTATTTGAATCAGCAGCAGGTCATAAGAGAGTCATCTGGAACCATACTTTATTACACCTGAAGTTGAATACCATTGTTTCAGGCTTTCTAGATGAGTGAGATGTCTGTTTCTGGCTGGACACCACACAGCAATATGTTCTGTTTACTAAGCAGGAAGCTGGCCTACCACAATTGAACCAGCAGTTACATGTTAAAATAATTATTGGTAATTTTTTTTTACAAAAAAACAAAATGGTTTTGAAAGTTTAGTAATTTGCAAAGTAACAAAGAAAACATTAATTCAAACGAACCCTTTTTTTATTCCTCCTAAGACTCCATGAAAATTGCACGCTACTTGTTGTAAGTTGTTCTATAATTAAGTGATTCTTTAGGATTATTTGTAAAAAAAATAATTGCAAAGTCAGGTCTATGTAACTATAACAAATTAATTTATTACTTCACTTGCTACAGCCATATTCACTTTATACTATAAACTCTGCAACTAAATGTGGGTCTAGCTTCAAATGCAATGTTTCAATGGAAACTGCAAGGTGTACACCTAATTTAATTAGCTTTGATAGGTAAATGAACACAACTTGCCTGGTAACTGAATAACATAATATATTATAAATAAACCTCAATTTTTGTCTATCCTGAAAATGTGTGCACATCTTACTATCTAAATGCACATGTGCTTCATTTCAATGGATGTAAGTATACTTTAGTAGAACATTTTGTACAACATATTAAAAGCTTATCAATGTTTTTAAAAAGATCTAACATTAGGTCATAGCATAACATTAAGTTTATTTATTGATGGTATTAAGTATAGCAAAGTTTAGACCTAAATAAACTGATGCAAGAAAAATATACAAGCTACAGTGTTAATTTATTTCTCTCAAATAAAGGCTTAATTAATGTTAGGCCTAAGACAAGTAGAATTACAGAATTTGGTGTTTACAATTAGAATTATTTTGCATTATTCTAGAAATCCTGTATTTAAAGAAGTACTGTTGCAATAAAAATACTAATTTGACTGCATATATTTTGTGAGTCTCTGCTAGTAGACACAATAACTAACACTGAATAGCTTTTCTGACACTAAACTAACTGAACTCAGTTATCACTGATTACTCATTTATATCATACCCTTGTTTCTACATATTTACCAAAGCTTTTTGATTATTAAATCATAATGAACTTTCTAGATATTGCATCATCATCATCATTACTATGGTTAGCAGTTGCAAGTAGCAAACACCTAAATTAAAATATTAACTGAGATCTAACAAGATGTCTGCATTAATTCTGAGCTGGTTAAGAAAAAATCGGGAAGTTAAAAAATGATAAGGGCCAGATAATATTTCCCCAACGGTTTTGAAGGAGGTTAAAGATTGGATATGCGAGCCACTTACTATTCAGTCCTTGAATAGTGGGCAGGTACCAGAGGATTGGAAGTTGGCTAATGTAACTCCTCTTTTCAAGGGAGGTGATAAAAATTGTCCTAGTAACTGTAGACCCATTAGTCTTACATCAGTTGTGGGAAAATTTTTGAAAAGCCTTAAAAGATGCTTTGCAAAGTCATTTAAAAAGTTTAGAATTTTATTGGATAGTTAACATGATTTCACAAAGGGAAAATCTTGCCTTATAAATCTTTTGACATTCTTTGAAAAAGTTACTGCTTATGTATATGAGGGTAAGGGTGTAGATTTGGTGTATCTGAATTTTCAGAAAGCATATGACAAGGTGTCACATAAAAGGCTTGTAAAAAAATATCTCTATAGGTATGGGGGATAAGATAGCAAATTGGATAGAAGAGTGGCTGGATGGAAGAAAGCAGAGGATTGTTACAAATGGAGTTCAATCAAACTGGATTAATGTCACAATTGGGCTACCTCAGGGCTCAGTCTTGGTACCTTTGCTAATTTTGATTTACATCACTGACATGGCTGAAAGAATATTCAATAAATTACTAAATTTGCAGATAATATTAAGGTTTTGGGTGTTGCTAGCTGTGAAGAGGATGCTGCTGATTTACAAAAGGATTTAGATCATTTAGTGAGTTGGGCAAATAAATGGCAAATGGGTTTTAATTATAATAAATGCAAGATAATGCATGTGGGTTATCATAATTTGAATTGTAAGTATAATTTTGATGGGAATAACCTTAACAGTGTTATGAAAGAAAGGGATCTTGGTGATATAGTCTATCAGTCTCTAAAGCTATCCAAACAGTGTGCTGTTGCTAGTGGTAGGGCAAATAGGATCACTGGTTATGCCACATTTGGAATATTGTGTTCAGTCTTGGCCTCCTTAGCTTAGCAAAGACATTGAATTGTTGGAAAGGGTTACTAGAATGGTGTCTGTGATGGAGGGGTCATATGAGGAGAGGTTTAAATCTGTGAAATAGTTTTCTTTTGAAAAAAGAAGAGTTAGGGGGAATCTGATTGAGGTATTTAAGATTGTAAAGGGAATTGACAATGTTGATGCATAATCCTTTTTCATAATTAACATTGAGAATAGTAGGACTAGGGGACACAACTATAAATTTTGGCAGGTTAGAAGGTCATCTTCAACTAAGACAGTTTCATTTTTCTAACAGGGTGGTTGGCCTTTGGATTGAGTTGCTTTTGGATGTTGTAGAGCCAGTGAATTTAAGTGAGTTTAAGAAAACGTTTGATAAGTATATGCATGATAAGGGCTGGCTTTAAGGTTTTTTCTTCTCTTTTAGTTATTTTAATATATTAGGTTATCAAGAAATTAATGTGCTTTGGAACACTTTCATTAACCACCACCCAAAAAACGTAAATCATGTATAATAGTTAAACAAACCACCTAAACGTCACGTTAGTGTAGCTTATGTAATGTGTAAAGTTTAGTATACTCTAATCCATTATAATGATGACACATGACAGGACACATTTGGCATGTAATGCTGTTTGAATACAAGAAGGGAAACAATGCCTCTGTAGCCACAAAGAAGTTTATGGAAATGTTTTGAACATTTGCAAGTGTCAACTATGGTACAGCAAATTTTATTAAGGTGACTATAGCCTTAAAAACTGTG